AATGCAGAAGGATGTTTTCCATTTCTCTCCTCAACCTACAGGAACGCCCCCTGGACTCAAGCAATGCTTGATAAATTCAAGCATGAATTCAACTAACCCACCCTCTGCAGAGAGGGATCATGCTCGTTAAAATTCTTGATAACCTTAATGTCTCAGCATAGATATAGCAATTATTTTGTTAGCTATAATCTTCTGTCTTGTTTCTTTCTCCCAAGAACGAAGGAGACTGCTGAAGGCTCACAGACATTGATTAAAGATGTGTGCAGGGCTTCCCTGGTGGCACAGTGGTTAAGAACCTGCCTGCCAATGCAAGGGACACAGGTTCAAGCCCTGGTCCGGGAAGATCCTACATGCCACGGAGCAACTAAGCCCATGCGCCACAACTACTGAGCCTGCGCCCTAGAGCCCGCGAGCCACAACTACTGAGCCTGTGTGCCACAACTAATGAGCCCGTGCGCCACAACTACTGAGCCCGTGCGCCACAACTACTGAGCCTGCGCTCTAGAGCCCGTGCTCCAGAACAAGAGAAGCCACTGCAGTTAGAAGCCCGCACACCACAATGAAGAGTAGCCCCCCCCACTCACCACAATTAGAGACAGCCCACAGCAATGAAGACCCAACACAGCCAAAAATAAATAAATAAAATAAATAAATAAATTTTTAAAATGTGTGCAAAGATTTGGACATGAGGATGTTCACTGATGCTATCTATTTTAGCAGAAAATTGGAAACAACCAGTATGCCCAACAATAGAGGATTGCTGAAATACCTTATGGTACACCCACCCATACAATAGAACACTGTGCACCTATTAAAAATCCTATTGTCAGAGAGTAGATGGAATGATGTTCACCATCGTTAAAAGGAAAACCAATTTACAAAAGCAGAATACTGTACACACAAACAAGGAAATTTTTCAAAAGATGTTAATAGCTATTGCAACTGGTAGAATTATGAACGGATTTTTAAATTTTCTTCTTTCTTTGCTTATAAGGTTTTTCCATTTTTTTCTACAGTGATGTGCATTGCTTTTGAAATAAGGTGTGGGGGGCAATAAAACTTATTTTTGCTAGCCAGGAGAAAAAAAATAGGAAAAGCCCCCTCTTTCAAGGCTGTCTCCCAGCATCTTGTTCTGCCAGATGGATACGAAGCCAGCTCAGACCCTGCTGTCCAGCTTGCCTAGAGACCCATGGAGGTCACCTTGGCTCCTTGGTGCCAATATCCACCTTGAGACAAGTTATTAAAAATAGGGCTATCCTGGCCAAGATCTCATGCCAAAGTACCAAGGGCCACTTCATCCCAGAAAAACAGCAGTTCCAGAACCCTGTGGGTTTTCGAAGTAGAACCACAGCCCTGGTTTGTGAGAGGAACCTCCCTCCCTCCCTTCTCCCGGCTGTCTGCCGAAGGTTGCAGACAGCTCCCTTTCCATCCCCCAAGAGATGACAGGCAGATGAGTCATAGCACTGGCTTGGATCAAAGGAGTATTATTGTGTTAGCAGAAATGGATCTATTTTATGATCTGTTTCTTGACGCCTTACAAATAAACATGCTTTTCCCACCAGACAGACAAGTTCCTTAAAAAGCTACTGATTTCATTAGCTGAAGCTAAGAAATGACCAATAAGAGTTAGAAACGTTTGTGTCTGAAGAGTAGCCAGGCTGAAAAGATGTAGTGGAAACACTGAGGAAAGCAGTTTATAACCCTCAGACTCTAAATTCAAGTCTGCAAAGCGATGCCATTCTTCTAAAAATACACAGAGGAACTACAGAAGTCCTTTCCTCTTTTCTAAGAGCTTTCTCTTTCTTTCTTTCTTTTAAAGAAATATACTAGGATTGGTTTGTAAAGGAGATTCACCACCTCAGATTTCACTGTTTTCGTGGGGGTGACAGCCGTGGGATACTATTTTAAGGACTTCCTTCTCTTATACAGATTTTTCCACACTGGGAGGACAGATAAGGTATGTTCCACTAATGTTCTTCATTAAACACACATGCGTGCCAGCAGTCATTTCCCTTTGTCTTGCTATCCCATGACAACAGATTGAATATCATAGGAAATTGGAATGGAGGTCTTATTTAGTTTGGATCTCTCTTCTCCATTGTTTAATTCCACATTCAATTTTTCATTCTATGTCTGCCTCCTTTTGCAGAAATATTCTATGACTGAACACAGGGACAGATAAATGAATAGGTGTTGTTTATTAAAGACTCACCTCATAGACTTTTCAGGAGCACTGTGACTAGCCCTCCCCCTCCCTCTGCCCGCAGAATTTTATCTCTGGTCTAAAGTGTTCTTCGTACTCAGTAAAGATCTGATGACTGATGGACATATCTGTATTGTGAACTGCACTCCCAGTACTTTGTTTACTGTTGATCAAGTTCCAGTACTGAGCTTCCCTGTTTTCTCTGAGATACACAGATGTCTCAGTGGTATTTCTGTCTTCAACCCACACCACCTGTCCATTAAAACAAACACACAAACAAACAAAAACAAAAACGCTTCCATCTAGTGCCAGGAAAGGAGGTCTAAGCGAACAGAGAAAGTTTCACATTTCCTGTTGTTGAACCTAGGCAACAACTTCTTAGAGGAAGCTGGATGACCTTTCAATCCAATACGCTGTGTTCTCTGACGCTATCATCGTTGTTTTTCCTCAAGACTACAAAGCTATGATGCCAAACTTTTAAAATGATCCCAGCTATTTGTTTTTTGAGTGTCAACTTTTATCCAAATGTTGCTGCTACTTTTTTCTTTTCACTTGAAAATGTGCTTTTAAAATATTTTGTTTTTCTAAATGGGACCCATTAGATCTAAGAACGTTCTTTCCATTTATCAAACATCAACTGTGTGCCAGGCATTGGGTACTAGATTTCACACTCATTATTTCATTCACTTCCTTACAACCACCCTATGAAGGAGATGCCATCACCTGAGGAAACTGAGGGAGTTCAAGCCATTTGCCCAAGATCACACTTCTAGCGTGGGGTTCTTCTGACCCTTCCAATCCATCCAACTTTTACCAGCTAAAGTCCATGAGTTTGGCCATCCAAAAAACGTTTTCTGAGAACACAAAGGAGAGCTGTATGTGCACTCTGAGAAGCCCATACCATCACCAAAGGAGGTAGGCTTCAGGTAGCCAAGAGGCCAAACACACTTGTGACACTATACCCTAGCGGTCAGTAGCAGGTCCGCACATCAGACCAGATTCAAGGCCCAACTCACCCACATAATGGACCTGAGACCACAGGAAAGTTATCTACTCTGAAACTCAGCTTCCACATCTCAAAATGGAGATAACAATATAGGTTAAATTCTACGAAACTGCCAACTTTCAACCATTTTTGACCTCCAAAAAAGCATTTTCAAATCATTCGACGTAAATTCCTCACTAGGTCGTTGTAGAGATTAAATGGGTGCACACAGGAAACAATAAACGGAGCTTTTTGGTAGACTTTTCTCTTCTCAATTTCATTTTGCGCAGGTCAATAAAGTGTGTTTGTATTCTCTACCCACAATTTGTATGTTGAGAAGCCCGGCTAAAGTTATGTAAGTGTTGCCGCTGATAATTCAGGGAGAAAATAAGACTGCGTGGATAATCACGAATTAACAACAAAGGATCCCCTCAGGGCTTACTGCTCAGTGCATTTCCCCCATAGCTTAGTCTCTTAATTACTAAATAAATATACAGCCGCTTCTCTCTCTCTCTCTCTCTCTCTCTCTCTTTCTTTTTCTCTTTCCTTCTTTCTTTCATCTTTTGTATTCCTGTTTACCTTTGAATTTCACTTTGGAAAGTTTCTGTTTGTCTGTCTTGAAGCTCACTTATTCCTGAGCAAGGTCAAGTTTTTTTGAGGAGCCATCTAAAGGCATTCTTCATTTCTGGTTACAGGGTTTTTTATTTCTAGAAATTCCTTTTGATCCTTAGTGTATTCATCTCTCTGCTTACGTTACTCATTTGTCCTTGCATTTTGTTTACTTTTTCCTTAGAGCCCTTAATCTCTCTCTCTCTCTCTCTCTCTCTCTCTCTCTCTCTCTCTCTCTCTCTCTCTCTCTTTTTAAGAAAGTGGAAGGAAGGGATATTGAGGAAGCTTAGCACTCTGTGTTAAAGACAAAGTAAAGGTTTTAAAATCCGTTCTTGCCCGAGTCGGGGCCTGGAAGTGGCCTGGCTCCCTGACTGGCAGCAGGGCAGTCCTGCCTGGGACGCCCGCGAGGGCTCCCCGTCCTGGAACCCGCCCCACAGCGGCTTGCCCAACCTGCCCGCCCCCGCCCGCGCCGGGAGAAGAACCACCAGCGTCAGCGTTGCCTCCGCGCGTCGTTTACTTCCTCGCTAAGTGCCAGGCCCTGCTCTCGGCCCCTTACACGCATAATTTATGTACTCCCCTCACAACCTCCCGGACAAAAGGGAACTCTGATTCTCTCCATTTTCCAGGTGAGAAAACGGGCACAGAGAAGTTAAGTCACTCGGCCAAGGTCTCCGAACTGTGGAGTTGGACTCGAACCCGAGCAGCCCCAGCACGCCCACTCTGAACCTCCCCTTTTCCTACTTGGGTAGAGGCGCTTTTTCACCTAAAACTTCTCCAAACTTGGCCACCTCCAAGGGAAGGAGCTCAGCCTCGCCGACTTGCACGACCTCGCCCGGCTCCACAAGTTCAGGGCTCCGGGCGCCCGATGGGGGCGCGGGTGGAGGAGCAGCACCGCCCCCCGGGTATTTAACCCCAGGCTGGAGCGCGCGGGGCGCCGGACGCTCCTGCTCCTCCCCACTAGCGCCTCCCCGCCCTCCTCCCAGCGCTCTCCCGGCGCGCCCCACCCTCCGACCCGCGCTCGCCTGGCAAGCAGGCACCGGCCGGCGGGCTCGGGGCGCGGGCGGCGCTAGCCTCTGCCGAGCGGTCCCCTGGCCGCGGCCGCAGCCGCAGCGCACTGCCCGGCCGGAGTGCGACGCGGCAGCCCGAGTCCGGACGCCGGCCGGTCCCGTGCGCTCCGCGGACGGGCGGGGGGCTGTGGACGCCCAGCCGGCAGCATGGATTCGGATTCCGGCGAGCAGAGCGAGGGCGAGCCCGGGACCGCCGCAGGTACGAGGGGTCGCGGCAGCCCAGACGGGAAGGCTGGGGCAGAGAGGAGGGGAGGCCGGGGCGGGAAATCGCGAGTATCTCTCGGAGCGGCCAGGCGGGAGGCCGATCCCCAGCAGCCGGATCCATTCCGGGCCGGGACTGGGATGGCTCTGCGCTGTGAGTTTGCTTTGGGGCTTTCTCCCCATTGCACTCGGGCGCTGGAGGGAGAGTAGTAGGTGCATTTGCGGGTGGCTCTCGGCGCTGCGGGACTCCGGCAGCGGGCTCCGGTCGCCGGGCTGGTGGGGGTGGGGCAGGGTTCGGGTATTCCGCGTCCTGTAGTTTGCTGCAGCGAGGGTTGCTGCATATCTGCTTTTGGAAATAACTTTCCGAGCGCCGGCCCGCTCCTCGAACCCCGGGCGCCAGGGACGCTGCGGAACAGGTGACCCGCTCCGAGGGCGTGACACGGAGTCAAACCACAACTCGTGGTTGCGTTCCCCGAAGCTGCTAGATGAGCCGATGCAGAAGCGTTGGCCCATCGCTGCCCTGCATGCGCGGAGGAGGTCCCCACGAAGGGTCCGGGAAGACAGACGCGGCGGCGGCGCGCGGGGTCCCGGCTTCGCCTTTAAGGGGCGCCGCCAGCTTTTCACAATCGATAGTTATCGAAGCGACGGGTGGATGCTTACTTAGGAAATAATGAATGTCCTCCCCCGCCTCTCCCTGATACTGAGCAACAGGAGGAAGCCACCCACAGCCTTGGGTCGACTTAACCGCGGGCTCTGCCCCCCTCCACCAGCCCGCTCTGCCCGCCTCCTGCAGGTCCACGGGCGGGAGACCTATGGCCCTCCCACGAGACCGTGGCTCCCCGCGCCCGCGTGGCCCTGCAGGCTAGCCCTGGCCGGCAGACCTGTGACTGGGACCCTCCTGGTACAGGCCTGAGGGCCCGGACTAGTCCCCAGTCTTCCCAGTGTCAGGCCAGTGTCCTGAGGGTGGGGACCGGGTGACCAGAGGCACCATCAGCCCAGGTGTGGGTGTAGGAAGGCAGGCTCAGGAACCAGGCGGGACAGCGCCAGGAGCTATACCAAGTGCCCTACGTATACTATTCTCCTTTATCTTCACAGCACCTAGCCAGGTGGTTGTTATCTCCATTTTACAAAGGTTCGGAAAGGCTAAGTGGCTTACCCACGAATCAGAGCCAGGGAGTAGCCAAGGGCAGAGTGATTCCCTATTTACTGCATCATACCCCTCAGCCTCTCACAGGGTGGCTGTGGTCAACACCTACAGCTGGGTGGGAAGAGATGAGGATGGAGGAAAAGAAAGATGACATCTTCAAGATGCCCGTGTGTGAGGATGCCTGTGTGTGTGTGCAAGGGCCACCTGCTTTGTGTAGGTATGTGTGGACATAAGTAACAAACATGAGCCCTTCTCGAACCTGTATGTTCCTGTGACTGTGAAGCACCAAGATTTTGTTTCACAGGTGGCTTGTGGATCTCTTCACATCATTTAAAAGTTCCAGTGGGTGTTTTGTGTCTATCTAAGTATATCTCTAGAGCTCAAAAGGAGGGGGAGTGAGTACATTGACACTGACACTTTACTCTCTCAAAATCCGAAGAACTAACATGCTCTCCCTACTCTCACCCTCAGATCTTTCATGCCGGTTGATGGAGAAGGGGAGGAGGATAAGGAGGCTTTGAGAAAGAGGAGGGGAGGGGAAGGGGGGGCAGGAGACACTCAGAAGAGTTGGTACTTGGATGAAAGGGGAGGGAAGGAGTTCTTAAGGGTTCAGTTGCTTCTCCCCACAGCCTGCCCAGCAAGCAGTATCCCAGGGTGTTCATGTGTGTTTGTGTCAGAAGACCTCTGCACAACTAACAGCAGTTGTGACTACTGAGGTCAGATGGGTCTGATGAAGAATAGGGCAGCCAGCTCTCTGAGCTGTCACCATTTGTTTGTGCCTTACTGTTTTCTACAGTCATTTCTTCTTTCTCTGTGTGCTTGAATCTCAAGTTGAACATTTATTTGAATGTCACAAGCCATTCTGCTAAATGGCATTCAGTCTCCCTCATTATTTTCAGTCTTAAAGTAGTCTTCGTGACAAAGCTTCAAAACTAGTTGCTAATTCATCGCCTTGCTATGGCTGCATCCTATCAAATGGAAACTCCTGTTGCAGCTTGATACTGGTTAAATTATCCATAGGAGTTGACCATTGTCCCTGTAAGTAACATGACATTCATCTGTGGACCTGTATCTGTGCAAGCTGGATGGGTTTATAACTGAGAAGCACAGCAGAGGAAGTGGGATCTCTCGGAGTATTAATGTGTGTGTCTCTGTGTACCTACCTCACAGGGAGATAAGATGAAGGGCTGCTTCCTCCTCAGTGCCCTCCCCTTCCTGAACTTATGAAAAAGCCCTGCCATAAGACAGACCTTATTAAGGTCCTGAGCCTGGACTCTGGAATCAGAAAGACCCAGGTCTCAATCTCTACCTGACGGGCAAGTTACTTAACATATCTAAACCTCAGTTTCCCCCTCTGTAAAATGGGGAAACAATAGTACAAGGGGTGTGTGTGTGTGAGGATTAAATAACACATGAAAAGTGTTCCTCCTGGTAATCATTCAGTAAATGGCAGCTGCTATTTTTATCACCTGATTGGATTATGTTGTAAGAGTACTGCTAAATAATGTACCCCAGAGCTTTGTAAAATGTAAATCACTAGGCATGTGTGAAAATATTAGTATTATTGTCGTTAGTATCACATTAATGTAACTGCCTAAGGAGATTTGTTTTGAATTTTATCCTTTTCACTCTCTCATCCCCCCCCTCTTTGTTTGGGGGAAGTTATTTTTAAGGTACGTCTTCTCATCCACATCATCTTCCAGCTGAAGTCATAAAGATGGGAACATTCAAAACTACTGCTTTCACCATCCTTTTCTTTCAGCTCTAGAGAAACTTGCACAAAGTAGAGAAGGTGGCCTTACCCAGTCCACCCGATAACCTGGAGATAAGCCACTTTCATACCACTTCCAATAGAAGAAGAGGGGTTAATAGACCCCCACACACTGGTGCACCTTTTCCCTTCAAGGTAACAGGAGAAACAGGAGGTACTCACCATTCTCCTCTCCATTTTTGCCCATCTCGTAGCCCTCCCAGTCAGAAATTGGCAGAGTGAGGAAATCTCTGAGCACCACCTACTCTTTACTGTACCCCTTTCAAGAGACTTTTCCAAAGAGCTCCCCAGTATCGGCTGTGCAGCTCTCTCATCAAGCAATACCCTGCATAGGAAGTAAAGGGTGTGTGTGTGGATGAGATTTGTCTTAATCTGCATTTTCTGGTTTTCAGGAAGCACAGGATGGTGCTTCTAAGTCATTCTGCTGCCTGCAGCTCTCCTCTGCCTTTCTGTCATTTTATGGTTCTTTCTATGATAAGGCAAGAGACAGGGTTTATGGAACACTGGATTCTTTCCAGAGACCCAACTTGGAAGTCTCTCCTTTGAGAAACCCACCATCCATCTCTCAGAAATCCTAGAGCTTGGTGTATTAACTTGGCAGTGATTTGAGTCTTTCCTAGGAAATAACAAGCGAGTAAACATTAGCAGTGTCAGCTTTCTCCCTTTCTGACTTACAAGACAGAGATAGTCTACCCAGCTCAAGATGACAAGCTCCTTCCACCCAGAGCTAGGTGGTCTGGGGCAGTCAAGCTGATGGAGCATCCCTGAGGCTGGGTAGGTGCTACAGAAAAGCATTTCTGTGTGATGGAATCAGGATGTGGTAGGGAAACTTCAAAATAATAAAAGAAGTAGGAAAACAGCAGGCTGCTGACTTTGTCCTTCCTGTCTTTCCCATTGCCTCGGTCCTAAGCTTGGTCCTTGTGAACAAAGTGGCAAGGAGTGGGTAGGATTCAATAGTTGGCCAAGAGGAGACAGGCGTTTCAGAAGTCAGACACCATTGAGCAAAGGCACAGATAAACAGGGAGGTGACCGGAGTGGAGGACATATACTAAGGAGTACTGGGAAGTAAAGTTAGGTGAGTGTAGGGAGAGCCACTGACAACAGGGGGTCTTAATAACTGGTACCTGATGGTGCCGAAGGAGCCCCCGTTGAGCTGATAGTAGAGCAGAGACATGACCGACTGAGATCTGGGTTTTCAGAAGCCACATCAGACAGACATGAAGTGCAGGGATGGCCTAGGCTTGGAGCCTCGTGGCCACACAATTGGAGGGGATGGTAGCACTAAGCGAGGCAGAAGAGGAAGGATGCAAATGCCATTTCAGAGAAACAAACAACAGAAGCTGGTGACAGATTGTACAAAAGCAGTAAAAAGAGAGGGAGAGTGGAAGGGGACTGGCATGTTGAGTTGGGCTGAAGCAGGGAAATGCAGGAGACTGGCTTCCCCACCCTGCCAGTGCTTCTCTTCTTTCCATCAGACACTTATTAGTGGTTACTTAAATTTTCTTAAAGGTGCTTTTCCCCTGTAGACAGTAAATTATGCTGGGGCACTGGTTTTGGAGGATCATGAGGTTCTGGAGTTTGTTGATTCTCATTGTTGGGTTATTCATGGAGGCTATTCAGTAACCTTTGTCAACTGACAGAGTAACCTTTGACGATTGATGGACTGGCCGACCAAGGGCAGGGACCACCTGGGGATGATGTACTACTTGGCTATTAGTCATAGTCCCAGGTCTTGTTCTTATTTGTGGACATTTTCAGGGGCCTCTGCCTCATCCACATAGTGGGCTGCTTTGAGGGTCAGGGCCTTGTCTTGTGCTTTCATGTTCCCAAGGTTTTATGGACATAACAAATGAATGAGCATCTTGAGGAGCCTCCTGAGAACTCTGCACTAAAAGGCCAGACAGGCAGCCAGAAACCTGTCCTATAAAGTAGAACTGCCAACGCTGTCCTTCAGTGTTTTGCTTCAGTGTTTGAAGATTTCTTGCACTGTCTGGGACTCTGTGTTGGGAAGTATGGGAAGTGCAAAGAGAGATAAGGACACAGTCCATCCTGTCTCCAGGGCTTGGGATTAGATAGGGAG